ATTAAACTCTCAAGACATTTAAATCGGTAATTTATGGTTACATATGGCACTCTTTATATCTATATGTGGACCAACTCAATCGCTGTAGTTTTACGAATCATATAATATTTTTTCGTCTTCTTTTTAATTTGTATGTTAGTTTCAATCCTATCTATAGTAAATCTAGGTTTTGTTACTGAAAGTCTGTATTTCAATCGAGAATGCATATGGTAAGTCTAACTTTTGTTCTCTGGTCTAGTTTTCAATTATAGTCGGAGTTAATCTTATTTATCATTGACAATGTCAATTTTTGGTTTTGAGATCTTTTTGAATGATTTCAACAATGTCAATTTTGTTCTCTTAAATCTTCATGTACACATGTATTTGTTGTGTATTTATGTGCATCTTTCTATTTTTCATATGAATATGATTTCTTATGGTGTAAATTACAAGTTTTTCTTTTAGCAAGAACAGGTGTAAAGCTCGAGGAAGCAAGGGCTAACTGTTTTTAAGTTGTCATAACTTAGTTTTACTTAGTTGATAATGGATTGAATCAATTTTTTGTGTCACTAATCAACACAAATTTTTTAGTTTTGTACTTATAACCAAAGGTTGTTCCCCAATTTACATTATATTAAAGAACCAACAAATGGTGTAAAGGTTCTATTAGTTGTCAATGTCGCATCAAAATGATTGTTTCTACTTATATGATTCTCATATTATCAATACAAGGTAATTTATACCTTTCAAACATTGAGTTATTCAGGGTTTTTATTTGTTTAATGACATTTAACTTCTTATATGATTGAGTTTAGGGAATTTCAGCCAAAGTTTTTTTTTTGTCTTAGACATTGAAGTGCAGGTTCCGGTTCCCAACGTTTGGAACTGATGAAGACGGATTTGTGATTCCGTTTTTAATGTTTTGGAACCACTATGGGCTGGGTAACCGTATTATATATATCAACCTCATAATATATGTAAAGTATATTTCAAAATTTAAATTAAACATTACAATCTTAATTATAACTAGTGAAGAGACCCATGCTTTGCATGAGTTGGAATGTATTTTCTTAGATTTGTTGCTATTTTCATTTTTTACTGCTCACATCGCAACGACACATCTAATATGATTATATTCATGAAAAGGGGAATATGGGAATTCTGCTCACCAATTGTTAAGATCTGAAACTTCTTGCAAAATTTTCGTTTCAATCTCAAGGAATGGGACTCCCTTTCTGTGACAATTCAACAAAATTCCCAAAAATTGATCTAACTATATTCTGAATGTATTCAATCTGCAACTGATAAAGATTTTCACTCTTTCGGAAAATTACAAAACACTAACTAATTTCAACATGCCTTTGAGGTTTTGAAGTAGAGGAAAATAGGAAAATCTCAAGTGAAACATTGGTGTAAACAAACTTGACTGCTACCGATAGAAAAATTGAACTGATAACTGAAAAAAAAAACATAACAGAAGATGAGCAAGGCGCGAGGAGCCTTACTTGATTTGCTTTCTCTGTCTAACCTTGTTTTTCAAAGCCTGCAAAAAAAAATCAAATTCAACACGTTAAAATTAAAATTAATAAAAGCAGCGTACTTATATTATTTACCCTTTACAACAATATACTTGCATCTATTTTTTCTTTATATCAATAGCATCTAAATAAAATCTGAAGTGTAGGGATGAGTTGAAGAACGATCGACTATGAATCTACCACACCAATTTTCTCATGTGCAGCCTGTGACAACAACCAAGAAAATAGTATTTATCGGGTGGAATTATACACGAAACTGAACATCTTCTAAAAGCAAAATCTAATAAGAACATGAAAAATAGTATTATAACAACATTAAAAACATCTTGACATAGCAATGTACTTACAAAAATTCACATTAAATTGTGAACAAAGTTGGCCCAATGAACTCAAAATTGTCATTGTCCTACAAAGAAACGAAAAAGTCATTAATTATGATTTGAATGCAAAAAAAATAAATAAATAAAATTATACTTAAGAAATCATGACGAGTCGTTTGTCCATCCTGCTTTGGGAAGAGTAGTTTGTCCATCCTGCTTGTATTATAAATATTAAACGGGTTAAAAGCAGGAAACAACAATGCACTTCAAATCCAAAACAACTTTCATTCATCTAATAATGAAGAAAAATTGAAGTGCAATGCTATAATACTGCTATAATTGGATAAAACTTTCAAAGTACAATACAAAAAACAACCGAAACTACAATGTTTAAACATCCGAATAATTTGCTTTTATTATTTAACCATAATAGTTTGATTTAAAATAAAAAACAACTCCAATCAGATTACATTATTTTTTATAATTTATTAGCAAAAAAAAAGAAAAAAAACTTGCAATGATCTTTTCTTTTAAAAAAAGAAATTATCAGTAGTTAAACCAAATTTTTTTCCATAGTTAACCAAATAAAAAGTATAAACTACAATTGTTTTTGTAAATTTATAGTCGATAAAAGATCAAAGTATATGTATTTTCTCTATTTCATTCTGTCATTCTCAATATATAAATATCTTTTTCAACCATTAATAGAAAGATATCATTTTTCATATATATTTCTTAGTGTGTATTTACGTGTAAGTGTGGGACTTCATTGGACCACGGTGTTGTTGTGGTGGGCAAGGTTGTTAATAGTGATTGCTACACTCGCTATAGCGAATAGCGTAGCGTAGCGAGGCAATAGTGTGTGTAGCGATGTCCGAAATTTTTTTTTTTGTTGTTTAAATCGGTAAGAAACGTAGCAATTAGGCTCAGAATAGGTTTAGGTAGGAAATCGTAAGGTCAATTTCGTGTCTTCCCCTCTAATCGACTAAGATTGTACGATCAACGGCAAAATCACCAAAATCGATTTTGGCGGGTTATTTATTACTTCTGCGACAGTAGCGACAATAGCACACCTCACCAAAACCGATTTGTGGTATTGAAACATAGTTTTAGACTTTAGAGTCTAAAAATAACCATTCTTTTGTGGTATTAGAACTTAATTCAAGACTGTAGAGTCTAAAACTAACCAATCTTTTGTGGTAAACATCTTTTGGAACTTAATGTTAGCTTAAATGAACTGGTACTTGTTAGTTCTGTGTTATTTTTTATTGCTGCATAGGTGCAGGTAAATATAGTGTTTAATTTAATAAGAAATCACAAAACATGAAATAGTTGTCGCTATTTTATTGCTATCGCTACGTAGCGTATAGGTGGGTTGTCGCTATTTTCTCGTTATCGCTATCGATAACCTTGGTGGTGGGATATGGTTCCGAAAATGGGAAGGGCTATTGGCCTCTTAGGAACTCGTGGGGGACAATTAAACAATCCTCTAATAGTTAATTGTAATGACTCTCAAGAATGCACTTGAAAGCAATTTTACTATTTGCCCACTAAACTAAAATTAGCAAACTTCAAGAAAAAAGTCGATTCAAATTAATATGTGAAAAATAAATGAAGTTTGAAAACTTGCAATCAAGAAAAAAAATTCAAATGCTATTAACATTCTAATTTGTTAAGAACACAAATAAAGTGATTGATCAGGTAGGAATCAAGAAATAAGAAATTTACATTTGGCCCTGCCTCATGAGAAACTTTTTGGGGTTCTTCATAACTCCATGGTCACATCACATAAAAGCTTTTGTGTGGGCATGTATGCAGAAATACAAGCAAACGATATCTAATATCAATTACCACACTCAAATTCCCCCACGCAAAATGAACCCAACAATTTGCAGTTTCCACAACAACAAAAAAAGGAACCAGAAAGAAGAGCACATTCTCACAGTTGTAACACATAAACCTACACTCAATTAATGCTACCCATAAGAAAGAGAACATGCACACTTACCAGAATTGTTGGCACCAGATGATCTGAAGCTTATGAAGCAAGCATTTTACCAAAATTATAAATAGCTATCATAACTTTGCATTGATTTTCCTCTTACTTTGTAGTTCGGTTCATAGTATAGCCTATCAAGATTCAAGAATTTTATAACCATTAGTAATAGAAATAATAAAAATCAGAAATATAACAGCAAGACCTAAAATAGGTACATGCTCATCTCTTGGTCTTCGTCTTTGGATTCCCCAAAACTCAAATCAAGAAACCACATTGGAGCAGTAGAGGGCAAACGATTGGAGTATCAAGGTTTTTGCTGATGCCGACAGTTCTGGTGACACCGACGACGCACCTTCATCGTTCGTCTAAGGCACAGCACAGGTAGGCTTGTGCTATTGAAAAGTAGATGGAGCAAAATCGCAGGGCGGAGAGGCAATTTAGGGTTCGGCAAGGGGAGAAGTAGTGGCTGGCGGAGGGAAGTGGTTCGGCGTTGTGTGGAAGGAGGAAGGACGAAGGAGACATTCGTTGTTTGAGATGAGGCAAACAAAACCGAGAAAGATATTGGAATATACCGGAGAGGCGGTGACCATAGTGAGGAGTTAACCCGATGAACAATACGGGGTAAGGTACTGTTCATAAGAATGTTGAGATTTAATTGTATATGTTAATGTTAATACTTTTGAGTAAATTACACGAATGGTCCCTATGGTTTGGGTTAATTTGTATGTTTGGTCCCTAATTTATTTTTTAAACTCGGAAAGTCCCTACTGTTTGTTTTAGTTAAGCATTTGGTCCTTACTGTTTGTTTTTGTTACATGTATGGTTCATGTTTACCTAAAAAAACTATTATTTAAAATAGGGAAAAATGGTGGGGTAGGTAAGGTAAGGTGAGAGGAGTGAGTTTGGTTGTGTGTTTATTTAAATAAATTCAAAAATCAATCGCAAAATAGTCCTTTTTGGGTAAGACAGAAACCAAGTGCGTAATAAAAAAAACAGTAGAGACCTTCCGAGTTAAAAAAAAATAAGTTAGAGACCAAACGTGCAAATTATCCTAAACCATAGGAACCATTCGTGTAATTTACCCAATACTTTTTTTTTAAAATAGTAAACCAAAACAACCTATATGTTTCATATAACATTTATCCAGTTAAATGGAAATGACATATGAAGATAACTAACATTTTTTTGATTGGCATTTGCTACGTTGTTACTCACAGGTAATTAAGAACCAAAGAAAATTTCACTTCCTTTTTTTGTTATTCATTTGTTGGCTTGATACTCATAATATTTTACACTTTTTTGTTGATTATTTATAAGCTGAAAATATAATTTTTAAGTTCTTTCATATATAGGTTTGGATAAAGTTGAACATATGATTATTTATAAGCTGAATACGGGATATATACGAGGATCACGACGTGGTGACTTTCCACAATAGCAACTTTTTAATTTTTAAATAGTTTATTCAAGCTATAAAGTTTAATTAAAAAACTATTGGAAGAGCTTTTTCACAGTAGAGTTTTTTCACAAAGTTTGTTTGTTTTTTTTTTATAAAGTTTTCTAATTAACAAAATTTTGTCAATGATGTTGTGGTTTCTTGGCTTTTCAACCAATAAAAAATAGACAACTATAAATCAAAACATAGATATCAAACGTAAAAAGCTGTATACAAAGAGCTTTTACATTATAAGCTTTTTCATGAAAAGGCTCTCAAAAAGTTCTTATATTACCGATGTTATTATTTACTTCCATGAATTTACAGCATGACATGGCAATGAATAAACTATCTGCCTGCTGATGTGTGGCCTGGAAGTACTGTGGCTGAATGACATGTCAAGCATACTATGCCTTGCACATCCATTGCTAATGACTCCACACTTCCACTTTTCGATAGAACCTGCCAATATGATTGCAATATCTTTTTTTGTCATTTCTTCTGAGAAAAAAGATGCCCATAAAAGTTGCCAAAAAAAAGTCTTGCTTTCATTTTGAGCAGCTATATAATGTTATAAAAAACAGACAACACTTTTTTCTTGTGCCCACCCAAGCACCTTATACACATGCACATGCTTGAGCACTAGTATTAACATCTTTTTCATCTACTGGTATACGTACCCTGCTCATATGTCTAGCTGAACATTTCTCAAATAGGTGTACTCAAATATGCGAGGCACACAATTTGATCATTAACGCCACACTTATTCTGGAGGGTAGACCTATGTGAAAACATGTCGTCAGTTTACTTGGCTTGCTCATAAATATGCATGGCTTCTCAGTTTCTTTCCAACTCAAAACCACAACCTCTCTCTTCATAGTCAGTCATGAAAGCAATGCAGTCTGTTACCAAGTCAATAAGAGGGTGCTGCGGCAGGAGCCACGCTGACGGGGATAACAATGACATTGGCTACTACCATACACCAGCATCGAGGTTAGAAGGTCATGGGGACGATGATGATGGAGATTACGATTATGCCCCTGCAGCATCAGAAGGAGATGGCGACGACGATGATGGAGATTATGACTATGCCCCAGCAGCATGATTTAGTTGATCAACATTTAAAATTAACTCTAACATTAAGAAAATATGGGGGGCCACAAACCTATTCGTGCGGCTTTGTGGATTTTTGTATTACTAGTGCAATACTGCTAATTAAGCTAAATTTTTTAGTGTGTATTCCTATTTTTTCTACTGCTTATGATATGTAGGCGCCTATTAATAAACACGTGTGAATTATAAAGGAAAAGCAAACGATGATCATACAGTTTGATGTGTGATTGTTTGTTAATGGGCCATGTTGATGCTAGTTTCATGTTTTTAATCAGTCGGTTACTTTTATGTGTTCAGTCGATCGGTATGATTTAGTACGTATGACTTATGAAAGCAAGCCAAAAGACATTTTGAGTTATGTTTGGAAGTCAAAAGTTTAGAGTTAATTACGTTTAAAAAAAGGGTGAAATGCATACTAAAAAAAAAAGGTGAAATGCATACTAAATAACACTTAACTAAATGAATCAAGTTAATTTGACATGCTCTGATTGTTACAAATAAATTCAACAATGTTCAGGAGGATCGATCGATGGTAAGTAAATCAAATTAAACTACACAAGTGGAACATGTGTCCAGGTATAAGTGGAACATGCGACGACATTGCGACGGAACATCTAGGTATCAGGTATAAGTTGGGAAAACTATAGATAATCATTTATAATAGAGATGCGAAAAAAACGAAGCGAAAAAAACAACGTCCGGTGCCCGAAATGTCGAAAATAAAAAAAATCCGTAGGTAATCCGTAGGAAATTACCGACGGAATAGCGACGGACCACTCCTTCCGTAGGTAATCCGTAGGTAATTTCCTACGGATTACCTACGGAAGTGCATTTCCGTCGCTATTCCATTGGTAATTTCCTACGGATTACCTACGGATTTTTTTTATTTTCAACATTTCGGGCACCGGACATTAGTTTTTTCGCTTCGTTTTTTTCACACCTCTATTATACATGATTATCTATACTATCACCAAATTATACCTAATATATATGTGTGTATAACCACGTGCACCTTTAGATCCGTTACTCCTTTCGCATAGTTACTCCTTTCACATACATTCACACATACACACATATGTACATATACATACATACACATACACAATTACACAAACATTCACATACAACCATAGACACATACATTCATAGAGGTTGGTCAATGTGTATGTATGAATATGTGTATGTATGTATATGTGTGTATAAGCATGTGCATCTTTCGATCCATTACTCCTTTCACATATATTCACACATACACACATACGTACACATATAATTGAATTTATGAAATATTTGGCCAAAATGGCATCTTAGGAAATCTGTTGATAACTAATTAACGGTTGACATCTAAGAAGTGCTCCATTTTCAATTCGTTTTTTTTTTCGCACTTCAATTATACATTTTTATCTACACTTTGCCTAACTTATACATGATACCTATATGTTTATAGTGGTATGATCATACATTCATAGACACAAATTCACACATACACATACATTCACACATACATTCGTAGACACACATTCACATATCCACATAGACACATACATTCATAGACACACATTCACACATACATGCACATATCCCCATAGAGACATACATTCATATACACATATATACATACATACACATACATTCACACGTAATAATAATAATAATAATAATAATAATAATAATAATAATAAATAATAATGGACATAATAATAAAAATAACAGAAATAATAATAATAATATAAACAATAATAATAATAATAATAATAATAATAATAATAGTAAAAAATTAATAAATTACTATTTAGTGACGGATTTATGACGGAAATAATACAAATTAATCTTTTTGTCAGTTCCGTAGCTATTCCGTCGGTATTTACCGACGGATTTCTGACGGATTTGTCCTCCGTCGGTATTCTGTAGGTATTCCGTCACAATATTGTCAGTAATTTAGGGCATCGTTTTCCGTCGTAATTCCGTAGGTATTCCGTCGGTATTTTCCGACGGAAAATTTCCGTAGGAGAATTTCGTAGGTATTTTTAATTTTTCTAGTAGTGGTCTTAGTGCAGCATTGATGAAGGATTATTGTGATGACAATGATAGTGTTGCTCTTGTTTCTTGAACTTCTTCTTCAAATGGAACTCCTGATAAAAATAACACCTGATTCTCTTCTTCTTCAAAGGCCAAAGCTAAAGTTGCTAATAAGCTCATGGGCTAATTACAACAGATTTAATCCTGTCAAGAATTTACTGAAACCAAATTAAACATCTAGCTCCACATCGTATTTCTTGGACACGGATGACTGTTTGACCAATGTGTTCAATTTCACTTTTCATCACCATATAATCTTCATTCCCTCATCTAGCTCCACTAACGTTAATAGAACTGCACCCAGAAGTGTAAGAACACTCGAATCACCACCTTCAATTTCACTTTTCATCACCATATAATCTTCATTCCCTCATCAAAGCACCATAAATTGGAACTGACATGTTATCCAATAAAACAAAATAAAGCAATAAAAACACAAAGGGTTTTAACGTGGTTCAGTCGATGTGATTTACGTACACGGGCACGATCAGGAGAACTCTTAGAATTATTATCTGACTGATTCAAAATGATTATAAACTAACCCTACTCCAAACACTTATCCCATCGATTAGGTCCAGATCGACAAATCGACAGATAGGGTCAAGTGATGTTTAAATCACTACATACATACATATACATACAAATACAGATAAACACACATCCTACATATATTAGATATTCATTATATCATCCTAATTTTTTCACTTTTTCCATTATTGCATTGTACTTCCCAAAAAGGCCCTTGATACATATAAACACACATTATATACATAAGTACACAAATTATACATACAAATACACTTAAACATGCTTCCTACACATATAGCATATTCATTATAGCATCCTACTTTTTTTTTCATTTTTTCCATACATATATACACACATTACATATATATACACACGCATTACATTTATGCATTCGACATCTTTGGTGGCGGTGATAACAACCCGAAATTAGAGGTCAACAAAGCTTTATACACAAAATCAAGCACTCAAATTAGTAGATTCACTTATATATTAACAGGAGAGAAAAGAAAATCAAAAATAAATGAGGAGAAGCACCTTTGTCTCGACAGAAAATCCGACAGCTAATATAGTCGCTGGTTTTACACCTTCTGTCGCCGGTGATGGCGGCCTTCGTTGTCGCCGGTGATAGAGGATGCTTGGATCAATTTTGTACTCGGAACTTGGAATGAGAAAATCCGGTCGATGATGGAGGGTAAAATGATGACAAAATTCAGAAAGCTTCGATGGAGGGTGGGTTTATCTGCGCAAACCTTTAGTGGCGACGGAAGGCTTTAGCGACAACAATCGAGCTTTAGCAGCGACACTGTATAGAGGGAAAATATAGCGCGGTTTTTTTGGAGCATTAGCGGCGAAGATGTCTCTGCCATTGATGTCGCCATTTATAGTTTAAGCGATCTTCGTTTCCAGCCGTTCGATTAGGTCCAGATCGACAAATCGATAGATAGGGTTAACCAATCTCATTTGACGTGGATCCTTGTGTTTTACCATTAGCGGTTACGCTCACTGTTAGCGGCGAGAGGTAAAGCGAAATTTGCATGTCGCCGCTATTGCCTTTATTTCTTGTAGTGTAAATGTCAAGTGCAACTTGTCTCAAGAGGCAAATTAATAACACAAGATTCAAAAAGTTATTAATATTCTATCTCTAACTTTCCGGAAAAAGAAAAAAGGATAATAATATTATAACAACATTCATCTTTTTTTAAGATTTGTTTAGCTAGATATAATTTGTTTCGGACAAAAAAAACTAATTAGTGTAATAGACAACAAAATAATTTTAATATTAAAACTTCAAAAAATAATTGGTCTTCAGACTAAATATCCACAGTAGCAACTTTTTTAAATAGTTTTTTCAAATTAAACAGATTAATTAAAGAGCTATTGGAAGAGCTTTTTCACAAATTTATTTATTTATTTAATTATTTATTTTTATTACAAAGTTTGCTAATTAACAAAAGTTATTGAAGGATGTTGTGGATACTTGGCTTTTCAGTCAATTAAAAATAGACAACTATAAATTCAAAATATAGATATCAAAGGTAGAAAGCTGTATACAAAGAGCTTTTACATTATAAGCTTTTTCATGAAAAGGCTCTCGAAAAATTCTTCTATTATGGACGATCTTATTTACTTCCCGAAATTTACAGCATGACATGGTAATGAATAAGCCACCAGCCTGCTGATGTGTCACCTGGAACTCCTGTGGCTGGGTGACATGTCAAGCATATTATGCCTTGCACATCCATTGCTAATGACACCACACTTCCACTTTTCGATAGAATCCTGCGAATATGATGGCAACATCTATTTTTGTCATTTCTTCTGAGAAAAAAGATGCCCATAAAAGTTGCCAAAAAAAGCCTTGCTTTCCTTTTGAGCAGCTAAAGTTACCAAAAACTGATAACACTATTTTCTTGTGGCCCACCCAAGCACCTTATAGACATGCACATGCTTGAGTACTATTATTAACATCTTTTTGATCTACTTGTACGTACCCTGCTCATATGTCGTGCTGAACATTTCTCAAATAGGTGTACTCAAATATGTGAGGCACACAATTTGATCATTAACTACACACTTATTCTGGTGAGTAGACCTATGTGAAAACATGTCGTCAGTTTACTTGGCTTGCTCATAAATATGAATGGCTTCTCAGTTTTTTTCCAACTCAAAACCACAACCTCTCTCTTCATAGTCAGTCATGAAAGAAATGCAGTCTGTTACCAACTCAATAAGAGGGTGCTGCGGCCGGAGCCATGGAGATTATGACTATGCCCCAGCAGCATGATTTAGTTGATCAACATTTAAAATTAACTCTAACATTGAGAATATATGGGGGGCCACAAACCTATTCGTGGGGCTTTGTGGATTTTTGTATTACTAGTGCAA